GGCCCAGCCAGAGCCCGGACTTGAATCCGATTGAACATCTGTGGGGTGATCTGAAGAGGGCTGTGCATAGGAGATGCCCTCACAATTTGATAGATTTGGAGCGTTTTTGCAAAGAAGAGTGGGCAAATATTGCAGAGTCAAGATGTGCATTGCTGATAAACTCATACCCAAAAAGACTGAGTGCTGTAATAAAATCAAAAGGTGCTTCAACAAAATATTAGTTTAAGGGTGTGCACACTAATGCAACCACATTATTTTAGTTTTTTATTTTTACTTCCCACTGAAAAACAGATTTCAGTTTGTTTTCAATTGAGTTGTACAAGTTATAGGTCACATTAAAGGTGGCTAAAGTTCTGGAATTATTTATCTTGGTCTCGTTTTTTTACATCACAGAAACCTGGCATTTTAACAGGGGTTTTTATATCCACTGTAACAGCAGCGAGCTGGCGACAAGTAACCTTTCTGTTCACTGGTTTTATCAAATATTGAAATTAAAGCCGCAAACAAAGCGGGATGTTTATGGAAATTTAGTGTTGCATTGGCAAAATGCAGGGGGTGTGAGACACGGGGTCTCATTTTCAGTAGAGATTTGATAAAGCTTGGTGGCCACAGGGTAATGGAGCATGGTTAATATCGAACCCTTGTGCTTATTATTGTAAGGTAAATGATTTGCAAATTGTTTGTGGTGACAGACTTTAACAGTAAGCACTAAGCGACTGTTGCTCTCAGTAATAGTTCCTCTGTGGTTTCCCCAGTGGCTTAGGTCTTCTTCCTTGGTGATTTGTACAGTAGTTGTATATAAAGTCCTGGCTTCATTTCTGTCTCTGCACATGAAAATGATCCCTCTTTTCCTCTCTGTAGCACCAGCAACAATAAAAACGGTCACCTACTTCTTGGAAGAGACATGTTTTAGACCATACACTATATGGTTCAGACACTGAGTGCTCCTCCTTTTCTCTCTCCCACCTGAGCTCCGTGATGGTGTCTCAAAATGATACAGGTGCCAGTTGACCAAAATGACTGCTTCACTGTCATTATATGGCACATTTTCTGCTGTCATAATCTTCATGTCTGCTATTGCTCATCACATTCTTATCATCAGGCAATTTTACATGTCCTGACTGTGATGGAGTGAAAGGAGAAAAGTAAAGCTACACCAGAGTTCTCCAACCTATTTTCTTTGGAGAAAGGTTGACAAAAGTATTGTAGCTGAAAGCTACTTGTGCCTTATATTACTAGTTACATTTATTCACATTTTTAAAATACTCAGATGTCCAAACCTAAACCAACTGAATAAGCTACAGTAATTGTTTTGTGCAATCATTTATCAGATATCAATATCCAATAGTCACATTTTGGTACAAACATCTTAAACAGCAAATTCAGTGTACTCAACTTGCTGAAATGTAAATTAACACTGTATATGGTGAAAAAAATGAGCCAAATGTTGCAGGCCACAGTGATGAACTGATGTAAACGAACCTGACAGCAGCACAACAACAGGAGTAGGCTTACTGAGTGAAGTTGTGTTGTTTGTACCAGTCTTACTGTATTCTCTGAACCTTTAGGCAAGTTACTCAGAAACTGGAAGCTCGCAAGTGACATTGAGACCCCTGAGCTAGACCATATTTGCTCTGTAGTTATCGTCTCTCAGTTGTGACAGTCCCGACTCAGTCCAGGCAGATTAGGTGAGACTGCTTGCTGTTCTGCATGAC